GGTTGGAGGTCACTGGAGAGATGGCTCAGTGTTTTAAGAGTGTGTACTGCTCTTCCAGAGGACTGGAGTTTGATTCCCAGCACCACATCTAGTGTCTTATAACTGCCCATAACTCCAGGTCCAGGGGATCCTACACCTCTGTGGCCTCTATGGTCACCAGCACTCACGTGCACATACCCACACAAAAACACACAGATTATTTATGTGTATGTGTGTGTGTGTGTGTGTCAGGGGGCACCCTTGGAGGCCAGAAGAGGGGATTGAGTCTCTTGGAGCTGGATATACAGGCAGTTATGAGCCTCCTGGTGTGTATTTAAATAAAATTAAATCAATCTTTCTCTTTTTTCAGTACTGAAAAACAATCACAGTGTGTTATGATTTATTTCACAGTAGCCTTTGGCAGTTGCAGTTCAATTTCAGGTGTGATTGGGAATTCTGCAATCTTGATGGGTATTACAGCTGTGGGTATTACTGCTCTTGTAAAATAAATCTTTAAAAAAAACCCGAGCAATCCATCCTTGTTGAAATCTATCTGCGCAACTCACTAAACCACTGACGGTGTAATAGTAGACAGATTTCTTAGACTAGGTTATACTACTGGATGCCCTTATCCCTCTGCTTTGGATCCAAATATATTTCCTAGCTAGGTGTGAACTGTTTCCTTGGACCTGGCTTGAGTCCGGAATCCTAGCTTCCGCCTATGCAGTTAACACTTCACTGTACTTCTGATGACATCTTTGTCCATGGGGGAAGTCTGAATGCACAACTCCCCATACTGTAATTTAAAGATGTCACTTGTTTTTATGTGTATGAGTGTTTTGACTGCATATATGTAAGTGTACCACATGCATGCAGTGCCTGTAGAGGCCAGAAGATCCCAGCAGATTAGCTTCCCTGGAAGTGGAGTTACATATGGTTGTGAGCCGTGTGGGTACTGGGACCCAAACCCTGGTCCTCTGCAAGAGCAGCCAGTGCCCTTCACTGCTCAACCATGTCTCCAACCCCTCTTCTGTATTTTTATTTCTATTTTAAATTATTTATTTTTATTTGTACAAGTGCTTTGATTACCTGTACATATATTGGTATGTGTATAGTGACTGTGAAGGCCAGAAGAGGGTGACAGACAGAGGCCAGCATATGGATGCTGAGCATTGAACCCTGGTCTCCTGGAAGGATAGCAAGTGCTCTTAATCCCTGAGCCACTTCTCCACCCCTAAACTCACTCTGAGATAACAACAATAATCACCTCTCACCTCTTAAGGCCTTTTTACACATTTACTTATTTATTGGGGGTAGGTGCACATACCATGGTGTTCTTGTGGAGGTAGAAAATGACTTGCAGACATTTTCTCTTCCACCATGTGAGTCATGGAGATTGAATTCTGCTTGTCAGGCTTGGCTGAAAGCACCTTTACCCGTGGAGCATCTCTCCAGCACTTATTTTTAAAAAATATTTTATTTAGCAGGGCGTGGTGGTGCACGCCTTTAATCCCAGCACTCAGGAGGCAGAGGCAGGTGGATCGTTGTGAGTTCAAGGCCAGCCTGGTCTACATAGTGAGTTCAGGTCAGCTGGGACTGCAGGGAGACCCTGTCTCAAAAAGACAAAAAAAAAATTATTTTTTTTATTTTTTGTGTGTATGAGTGTATTGCCTGCATGCATGTGGGTGTGCCCCTGTTGTGCAATGCCCTTGGAGGTCACGAGGGCATTGGATCTCCTGGAACTAGAGCTAAGGATGGTTGTTAGCCACCATGTGGGTGCTGGGATATGAACCCAGGTACTCTACAAGTTAACAGTCAATGCTCTTAACCGCTAAGCCATCTCTCCAGCCCTCACTTGTTTACTTTTTAAAGAAAGGAAACTGACTTCCAACAGTCCTGGGCACTATGAAATTCAAGATCAAGTCGAGATCTGGTGCAGTGCAAGGTTAGCTTCCTAGCTTTCGATGGCTGACTTCTGTTCATGTCACTTTTCAGGCAAGTTTGTGAGGCTGCAGACTCAGATGACTATTGGAGCTTGAGACCCAAGGTAGTCACTCTCACTATATAGCCCAGGCTAACCTCTGCTTCCCAAGTGCTGGGATTATGGGGATGTACCAGCACACCCATACTTATACACATGAAATAAAAAGTTAAAAAAGGAGAAATAACTAAAGAACTTATATATAGTAATATATAGTAGTTGTTTTTTGTTTTTTTGAGACAGGGTCTCCCTGTAGCCCCAGCTAGCCTGAACTCACTATGTAGACTAGGCTGGCCTTGAACTCTCAGAGATTTGCCTGCCTCTGCCTCCCAAGTGCTGGGACTAAAGGTGTGGGTCACTATGCCCTAATCCAGTAGTTGCTTCTTACGAACAGAATTTGGTGCCACAGCCAGCAGATAACTGTTACATGCTTTGAAACCTTTTAGAACTGATTTACTATTTTATCAGTTTGCATCCCAGGGTGACCTCAAACTCACCACGTAGCCCTGGCTGGCCTCAAGCTCATGATGCAGGCCAGGCTGCTTTTAATTATTATCCTTTTGCCCAAGTCTCCCAAATGCTGAGATTATAGGTGTGTTACCTCGGACAGCTTTTATTTTACATCTTACGAATATCTACAACTCATCTAAGTTGAGATGAAAGAAAAAGATAAAGCACCATATTTAAAGACAAGATTGTCTTGAAAAGCTTAATATTAACAGACTTTTCAGTCTTTATAAATTTATTTTCAATTGTGTGTGTGTGTGTGTCTGTGGATATATATACACATGAGTGTAGGTGCCAGTGGAAGCCAGAAGAGGGTGTTGGATTCCCTGGAGCTGGATTTTCAGGTGGTTGAAAACCACCAGATGTGGGTACTGGGAACTTACTCTGGTCCTCTGTAAGAGCAGAATGTACTCTGAATTGCTGTCATTTCTTCAGTTTTAAAGAAGAAATTTTTGCAAAAGTCCTGCCATGTAAGCAATGCATGATATAGGTGCACATGTTACATACATGAAGGCAAAACACTCATGCACACAAAATTAAAAAACTCAAATGCCCACAGATGTCAGAAGAGGGCATCAGATCCCCTGGAATTGGAGTTAAGGACATCTGCTTGCTGGGAACCAAACCCAGGTCTTGTACAAGAGCAGCCGGTGCTATCTAGCTCCAAATTTTACTTTTATTAGAATTCTTTTCAAGATTAGTTATATTAACAAATTCTGACTTTTAGTAGAGACTGGGTATCCTTTATCAAAAATACTTTGGACTGGAGGCTGTTCAGAGTCTGGAATATCTGCATACACATAAAGAGACATTTTGGATAAAAGACCCAAGTCCAAACATGGAATTCACTTATGTTTCATATCCATCTTAAACATACAATCTGAAAGCAACCTTATAGAGTGTTCAACAATTCTGGGCATGATCGTTTCAGTGTGGAATTTTTCATTTGAAGCATCATGGTGGCAACTCAAAGTTTGGCTTACTTTAGATATAAATTTTCAGATTTAAAATTTGTACTGTGCTAAGGCAAGTAAAAAGAAACATGATGCTTTAAAAAATTTTCAGGCCTGGAGAGATGGCTTAGCAGTTAAGAGCACTGGCTGCTCTTGGAAAGAACCTGGGTTCAGTTCCCAGCATCCAGCTGATGTCTAACAACTATCCTGAACTCCAGTTCCAGGGGAACTGGCACTCTCTTCTGACCCCCACGGACATTGTACAACATGGGTCACCTACTTACATGCAATACACTTGTACACACAAAATAAAAAAATTTTACAAATTTCTTATCAACTATCATAGGAAAAGACCTATTTGGCTTTAAGCATTCTTTTTTTTTGTAGCATTGCTTAAATTTCTTTTTCTTTTTGGTCTTTTTTGAGACAGGGTCTCCCTGTAGCCCCAGCTGTCCTAGAACTCACTATGTAGACCAGGCTGGCCTTGAACTCACAGAGATCCACCTGCCTCTGCCTCCGGAGTGCTGGCACTAAAGGCATGCACCATCACGCCTGGCCAATTTATTTTTATGTGTATGAGTGTTATCCACACATGTAAGTGCACCCATGTGGTGCAATGCCTATGGAGGGCAGAAGAGGGTGTCAGATCCCATGGAACTGGAGTTACAGATAGTTGTTAGCTGCCATGTGGGTGCTGGGATTCAAACCCTAGTCTTCTGCAAGAACAGCCAGTGTTTTTAACCACTGAGCCATCTCTCTAGCCCCAGTAGCACTGCTTTTTAAAAAATATTACATTGAAAAACTTTGTATAGGTTGGAGAATGTGGAAGGGAAATGATCATGAAACTTACAATACAGCAACAGTGAGAAATTTCAGAGTATTGTTGGTTAGTTTTGTCAGTAAATATACTCAAAATTTATAGTACATAGAGCTGTGAAGTTATATTCTAAATTAAATTACCTATTTTCAGCTTGAGAGTTGTATCAGTTATTAAATTTTAACTTCTCAGGCTGTGATTTTTATCTCTAGATCAATTAGGTGGTTTACATTTTCTGTAGGGCACAGGTGAAGGCATACTGGGGCTGTAGAAGAGTAATGGAAAAATGATGGAAACTTCTTGGTGTCTACCTAGGCATGGGCGAGGTCCAATGTTAAGACCAGGATGCCCAGGATCATGTGTGGAGTCAGGACCACAGCTAGCCAACAAGGAGGAATCAGTCCTCCCAGGTCTAGAATATGCACGTGACAGAAACCTTCCATCCCCAGGATAAGCTCAACACAGAGACAAAGCTACTTTCCATGAACAGCCTGGGACCCTGAGGGAGGGGATTGCCCAGAATGCAGTTACTCAGGGCTGAATCTGCTGCCCAACATCGGGCTGTCCTCCATCTGCCAATCTGCTCCACGTGAGCTCACCACCAGAGCAATGTTGTGCGTCACCGTTGGGGACCACAGCTCCAGGTTCATGGAAGGGGATTATAGCACCAGTTCACAGGAGGGAATGACAGTTCCATGTTCACTGGAGATTTTACGTAGTTTTATACTCAAATACTAAAAACTGTCTCCAGTTCACAACTGTATTTTGTACAACGAGATTTTATTTTAGCAATATTTACATTATAAACAGACTTTTAATCACTAAGTTCCTCTTCGTCACTGAAATAAGTGCTTTTTTTAATCCGTGGGCGTCTAGAATCATCTGAAGTCGAGGCGCCACCTGGACTGGGTCTCCATTTGTTTTGTTCTTCCTCCACTTTGGCTTGCTGTAATATGTTTCAGAAAAAAGGAGACAAAAACATTTTATGGCACATCATGGTAATTCAAATCAGGCAAAACCAGAACACAACCACCAGTTTTTTAATCCTCCCAGGCCATAGAGACAAATTTGGTTCTAACCACAGTATTATTCAAAATATCTGAGGAAGGTTTTGTTTTTAGGTAAGTCTTGACTCCACATATAGCAAGGTTGACTTTGAACTGAGTCTTCTGCCTCTACCTCCTGAAAGCTGGGGTCACAAGTAAACATTACCACACCCAGCTCACACAGTGCTGGGGATAAGCCTGGAGCCTGGCATATGCTACCATCTAAGCTAAATCACTAGCCTTTTTGTTTTGTTGTGTGACAAGGTCTCACTCTGTAGTCATGCTGGCCTGGACCCTGCTATGCAGCCTAGGCTGGCCTTGAACTCATGATCTTATTGCCTCAGGCTCCTAAACTGGGATTACAGGTCTATATTATTATGACTAGCTTCATCTTAGGCAATTTCTTTTTCTTTTCTTTCTTTCTTTTTTTTTTTTTTTTTTTTTTTTTAAATTTTTTTTTTATTGAAGCTGGGCATGGCAGTGTACCACGTCTTTAGTCCCAGCACTCAGGAGGCAGAGGCAGGTGAATCTTTGTAGATTGAGGCCAGCCTGGTTTATATAGCAAGGGCCACGCCAGCTGGGGCTATAGGAAGAATGCCTCAAAAGGACACACACACACACACAAAAGTTCTTATTTTAAGCTTTAAAGTGTGTATGAGTGTATTGCCTACATGTATATTAAGTGCACCTGTGTTGTGTAATGCCTGAGGTCTGAAGAGGGTCTCGGATCCCCTGGAACTAGAGTTATAGATAGTTGTTAGCTGCCATGTAGGTGCCAAGGATTGAACTCAGGTCCTCTGAAAGAGCCACCAGTGCTCTTAACCACTGAACCATCTCTCCAGCCCCCATTCCAGGCAATTTCTAAGAAAACCTTTTAGATGAGCTAAAGACACAAACAGCTGTTTTGATTTAAGAACTAATTTAATTTTTGATATAGGGTGTCATGTAGCCCAGGCTGGCCTTGAGCTCCTGATCCTTCCATTTCTCAAGCACCTCTCAAGTGCTGGGATTATAGGTGTGTGGTCTCATGCCCAGCTAATCCAACAGCTCTGCTCAATTCTAAAATGAAGGCAGATTAAGAAACTAAAAAGTACATGGGACCCATACAATGTAGAAAGAACAAATGGGAATGTTCTATTTAGAAACACGTTGCCACCAATTCAGGCAAATAGGGAAGACAGATTGCCATGACGAGGCGATCTGTATACTGATCACCTCTAACCCAAAATATACCATGGTACCCTGTATCATTTATACATTTTTATTCTGTTTGTTATTCATCTATTTATTCTTTTAAGAGTGTTTCACTGAGTAGTCCAGTCTAGCCTCAAACCTGTGAGCATCCTGCTGTAGCCTTTTGCATCCTGAGACTGTAGACGTGCTCCCCTATGACTGGCTACTACATTTTTCTTATTTATTATTTTTTAATTTTATGTGTATGAGTGTGTCGCCTGCATGTATGTGAGTGCACCTGTGCCACGCAATACTACAGAGATGAGAAGAGGGCTTCGGATTCCCCTGGAACTGGAGTTAAGGACGGTCTGTAGCTGCCATGTGGGTGCTGGGAATCAACAGCTGAGCCATCTCTCCAGCCCCCATTTTTCTTTTTTATTCCAAGACAAGGTCTTGACCAGTCTGACCTTGAATTCCAAGGCTCCCGTGATTGTACTTTGGTCCCCCAAGTTGGTGGGATTATAGGCATGCACCCTCTATACTCAGTTAAAAGTCAATCAGAACACTAAATCAGATTACAACACAGTATTTCCATTCCTTCTGTGGTTTGTTTTTTCAGTGCTGGTGAGCAAGCCCATGCTAAGCAACTAATCAAGTCCATCACTGAGAAATATCCCTGGCCACAGTCCCTTATAAAGAACAGTTCAGTACCTGGAATGCTATGGCCTGACTGAGACTGTCCAGGGCAGGATCTTCCCCTTCTTCTTCGCTTACTTCCACTTCCTCACTAAATTATTAAAGAAAAAAACCTTTCAGAATGCAGACAGCCAACGGCAAAAAGACAGCACACAGTCAAGAAGTAGTGAGAGATGCACATACGTGTCTTCTTCTGGTTCAGGGATTTTCTTTTTCTTCTTTTTCTCCTTCTTCTTTGGAGGCTCACGTTCTCCAAGCATATTTTTAGGACAGGCATAACTCAAGTGGCCGCTTTCCTTTTGTTTGACATTAAAGAAGAAATGCTGCAGCAGGCATAACAAAGCTGGCTGGACCCGAGACTAAGGGTGCCACTCAAAGAGCAGCATTCTGGGCCTGGGATGTGCAAACGGAACTGATGACGAAACTTGGCTACTTTCAGGTTCAGGGGTGTCTGTGATGGTGCAACTCTGAACTCGTGACTTTAGTAATAGGGAGCATTTTAGCATCTTCTTTACGAGCTAAATCCCATTTCACAGTATAAAATAACACAAATTTAAATGGATCATTGGCCTCAAGTAAACATTCTAGCTTTCAGCTGTTAAAATAGGGATAGAATGATTTCTTCTAATTTGTGGGATGTTGCTGAAAACTCAGTTTTAATAACAAGTAGAGGCTGGAGCTACAGCTCAGTGGTATATAGTACTTGCCTAGCAGGTATTTGTAGTACAGTCCTACTTGACTAAGCTGGATTATCATCATATGAAGTAGAATACTGAATTATAAAACATAAAAACTCTGAATTACAACCCGCACATTAGCTCACTAAAATATATTTACGATTATGTTAAAGGGTTGTATAGGAGAGACTGAGCCAAGATTGGAACAATAGAAGAAAAAAAATCATGTTTTTCAAGTTTGACAAAAACCTTAAATAATCATGTTCTTTGTACTTGGCTCATGCCTGAACCCAAGAGGTATTATTTCTGTTAATTTAGTAAAGAGAGAATACGCTTAGAAAAGCATTTTCCAAACTGTATTTTAGAATAATAGTACCAAAAGATTTCAATACATCCCATTTAAAAAAAAAAAAAAAAAAAAAAAAGCTTAATGGTAAATTACTTTGGGAAAAATCAGGATAAATAAATGTAAACAAAAATTTTAAGGGGAAAATTAAAGAACTATAAAAATGTACAAAGTAGGTTGGGGATGCAGCTCACCTAGTACAGAGCTGGCCTAGCATATATGTAGCACTGGATTTGAATCCCCAGCCTCATATAAACCAGGTGTAGCCCACATGCCTGTAATCCCAGCACCCTGGAAGCGGAGGCAGGACAGGAAGTTTAAAGCCACCTTGTTAGAGATCCTATCTTTTTAAAAAAGTCCCGAGCTGGGTAAGGTAGCCCATACCTTTAATCTTACTCATCAGACTGGGTACTTGGAATCCTCTTCTGGACTCCATGCATGCAACACCCCCCACCTCACCCCATACATATGCCACATCCACACCAAAACAACCAACCAACCCTCCCCAAACTGTAGGGCACCAATAAAAGAGCAGTATGAAGAATACCTTAAACTATGAGAGGGTCACTGCGTTTTAGGTTTTCTTACCCCACATTCGTAACACTTAGATTTATCAAAGTAGTTTCGCCTTCGGATGAACTCAGCTGCCCTTCCGTTGTCAATAGCGATGCTTGCCTTTATCACTCTACCGAATAACTAAATGAGAGAAAGTGGATGTAGAAGAAGGCATCTCACCGAGGCCTAAACCAGCTCTTCTGGTTTCCTCGTCTGTACTTCCACTTTATGTTTTGGATTATTGTAATAAATGTGTGAGAATTCTACTGTGTAGCATTTTTTTCCATAGAGTCTACCAATAGTTTAAGAATCCAGTACAATGTTGACATCTCTTTCTCCAAAAAGGCAGATACTACTGAATCACAGGTGCTAGGCAGACTCAACCATCTACGTAGCCCCGTTTCTGGGTTTAGATGAACACAAAGACTTTTGGTTAAAACCTTGATGAGAACAATGGCTTACCTGCTTGTTGTTTATTGCTCGGGTGCAGTTTTGTGCAGAGTCTTTATCCAAAAATAGAATGAAGGCAACCCCTTTACTCTTCCTAGTGTCTTTATCCTTCATGATGGTAACCCTTAAAGCATGAACAGAGTCAGATTAAAAACAGGCAGAAATAAGCAAGACAGGCTTTAATAACTGCTTAGGAAATCCAAGATTTTAAAAACAGGTTAAGTAGTAAGCATTTACAAGTAAGACAAATAAAATTCATGCTTAGTGGTGCATGCTTATAATCCCAGCACTTAGTGAGGGGCAGCAAAAGGACCAAGAGTTCAGGGTCATCCTCCACTAATGAGTTTGAGGTCAGCCTGGGCTACATGAGACCCTGTCTGATAGAGAATGAGGAAGAACAAGAAAGAAATTTACTTAAAGCAGCCATCTCTTCAATGCCAGGAGGTGTCAAGGACAACAGAAATGAGAAAGTGTCACTGGCGATAAAGGTGAACGCAGCTACAAGTGGGAACTGACCAGAGAGTGAAGGGGGCGTCCAGAGACAAGCCTGGTGGAATCTTGAGGAGCAAGCGAAATTCTCTACTAACTTCCTACCCTGCAGAAACCTCCAGTGAAAACTGAGATATTCTCTTGTGCACAAAAAGCAAAATGATTTACTGTTTCTCTACAGTTTCAGAATTAAATCACAGTAGTTTTCCTACTACTCTTTTCAGAGACATCTCCAGTTTAGTAGTCCTTAGTCCTACTTCAACACACTTGCCTTACAGGAACTGCTAACCACATAGCATCCAGTACACTTAAAGAACAATACTGAAGCCTGGTGTGGAGGCACATGTTTATAATCTGAATACTCAGGATGCTCAGGGAGGAGGACTGCAGCAGGTTAAAGGCTAGTTTGGCCTATATTATAAATGAGACCTTGTCTTAATGCAAAGCAAAGCAAAGCAAAACATTGTTTAACAGAACTCTTAGGAAAAATGGTTGATTCCAAGGCTGCAGCACAGTAGAGGCAAGAGAGCATGCAACTTCATGTTGTAAGAAAGAAATGAAACAGAACACTGAGCAGGACACAACAATAATATAGACAACAACTACTCAGTGGCCACTGGCCAAATGCAGCACAGCTGGAATAGGAAAATGCAGTGCAATGATGAACTGTGACATACAGAAGTAGGGACGTGTAAGTCTGCCTCAGTAATGAACACACGGGGAAGGAAGAGCTCCCGCGTGCAGCAGGACGCTAAGGAGGTGGGTGCAGGGCAAGTGCCGGAGCTGGAAAAAACATGTTCCAACAATCACGGTAATCAGGTTGGAGAGAGCCATCGACATGGCGTAGCAAAAATGTCGTTCATGTGGAGCAGGGTACTTACACTGTCCCAAACACTGTCTATCAGTTGCTACGGGAGAATAAAGTGGGTAGTGAAGAAAATGGAAAGCCTCTTGACAGGTGACCAGAAGTGCTCTCACTAGGTGACAACAGATGGACACTGTCTGCCTCTAGGGATGGCACCTCATCAGCTATGAAGTGATGACCAAGAAAACAGAACCCAGATCTACTCAGGAACATCAGTTAAAGGCAGCACTTCACTCTAGAATGGATCATGTTCTGGAGGGAAAATGTTATCTAGGATATTACTGTATCAACTGAAAACCTTGGAACACATATATGGCTGATTCAATAAAGGAACTGCATCAAAAGAAATTGGTGAAGTAAGTAACTATACTGTGCTTATATATGCTATATATTTTTAGGAAATAAAACATTTATGTACTTAGACATAAGGGGCAATGAGGTTTGTAAAGTACCTTGAAACAACTCACAAAACAATATGTACATATACATGTATACATTCACACAGAGTAGAGCATGCAAAGACAGGAAATGGAAACGCTAACAACAGGTGAATTTGGATGGAGAATTTTCTTTTTAATTTAAAAAATGTTTCTGCCTGCATGTGTGTAAGTGCACCCGTGTTGTACAGTGCCTGTGGAGGACAAGAGGCTGTCGGATCCCCAGAACTGGAGTTATGGACAGTTGCTACCTGCTATGTGGGTGCTGGGACTCAAACCTGGGTCTTCCGCAAGAGCAGCCGGTGCTTTTAACTGCTGAGCCATCTCTCCAACCCTTCGTAATATTTTTAAGAGCAGGGGTTGAGATGACTCAGTAGAACAGTGCTTGCTGTGCAAACGTGAGGACCTGGGTTTGCAGCAGACACCGTGAGCTTCGGCTTCAGAGACCCCATCTAAAGGGAGTCAGGAGAGGGAGAGAGGTCGCTTCATGTCTCTCTCTGTACACACACACAAAGGGGAAAAAAGCAAAAAAGAGGAAAGCTTTACACTGGATTCACTGGAAATTTTGATCTTATAACCAAGGAAACCTAACTGCATCTAAATATGCCCAGCTAGATGTACTCTTAGTTGACTTAAAAATCCCTTTTTGGAGGTCACACAGTTGGACAGTGAACTGTCTCCTACTGGCTGTGATGCAGATGTCTCTGCTGAGTGGGTAGTGACAACAGTTGCCTTGGTTACTTTTCAGGGATTTGAAGGACGTATTTCCTGAGACTATTAACTCTTCATTTGGGCTTGTAGTTTGGCAGGGTCATTAGAACAAGATGAAAAGGCCTGACTTGACCTGTCTTTGTTGTGTGTCTATGTATTTTGCACCCCTAACACTGGGTTAAAGACATGTACCATTTACTGTGTCTGAAAACTTCAGACTATAAAAGAGTGAAAGGTGGTGACATCGGAGTTGCTCCTCCCTTTCACCGTCTAGCCAGCCCTTGCTATTCCTGTCCTACCTGCAGCTAGTCTACTCCCCTGTGTTCAGATGAAGCTCATTCCTCCACACTTTGGTCACTGAGTGGGGCTTTCTTCTCCTGTCTCTGCCTCAGGTCATGGAGGTCTGGGGAGATGGCTTAGTCAGAAAAGTGCTTGCATTAGCAGCAAACATGAGTTCAGACTCCTAACACTCCCAGCTGTGCGGCCTTCACTTCTACTTCCTTGACAAGTGGTCAAGGAAAACACCCAATATCGATCTCTGGCCTCTGCCCCCAAAGAGCCAGCAGGATCTGGTTCTTCTCTCTGCTATCCTTTGGGTCTTAAAAATTTTTTTTTTAAATTACTTTTATGTTGTATGAGTGTATTGTCTGAATGTAAGTGGACCCTTGTGCAATGCCTGCAGAGGTTAGAAAAGAGCATCAATCCCCTGGAACTAGAGTAACAGACAGGTGCTAGCTGCCATCAAACCTGGGTCCTCTGCAAGAGCAGCCAGTGTTCTTAACCACTGAGCAATCTCTCCAGCCTCTCGAGACAGGGTCTTCCTGTAGCTCCAGCTGGCCTAAACTCACTATGCAGACCAGGATAGCCCAAATCTCAAGAGAACTCCCTGCCTCTGCCTGGTATTAAAGGCTTGTGCCACCATGCCCAGCTCTTTATCTCTGTTTTCCATATACATTTGGTTATAATGATTTCCAAATGACAGTGTTCAAGAGAAAGCTAAACAATTTTCTAAGATTTGAATTACGGGAAAATAGACAAAAGGACATCTAAGTAAATTAACAGGAATTTTATGTAATGCTATTATTCACATATTAACATTTTATTTGGTTTTGGGTTAAGATACATATATTGTCAATGGAATGAAACTGGTAAAACAATGTCACCATATTACAAAAAAGAATGCCTAATTTCATTAAAAAAACAAATACTGGGCCAGTGAGGTGGCTCTGTGGGTAAAGCAGTTGCTGTGCAAGCCTTAGGCCCCTAGTTCGATCTCCAGACCCGTGCAAAGGTGAAAGCAGAGAACTGACTTCACAATGTTGTCCTCTGACTTCTATCCATGTGCTCATCATGCATATCACACACACAACAGTAACAATAAATAATTAAAAAAGAAGCAAATGGAAACCATGTTGGGGAAAATGGGTAGCTAAAATGGTTTAATCTAAAAAATGCATGTTAACCAAAGTTGAGACAAAGGAAGTTAACTGGACAATTGTGGATGCCAGTCAGAAAAAGGAGCCAGCTGTGGGACAAATTCCTGCAGCTGTCAGCACTAAGACTACAGAGCAGCTGGGAGAATGCCCACTAGTCCCAGAGCCAAGAGTGAATTTATAATGAGAATCTGGAGAAGGAAAACCTAAGTTGCTAACCCCAGCCTTTTACTAGTTACAATCTGGGATCGGGAAGGCAGCTCATAATAAGTAACTATTATTTCTCAATTGGTTGGAGTAAACAGAAAAACTTTTATAAAAGGACACAGTGGCCTTGGTGACTTGGTATGATGGTATTTTAGTCAAGCGTTCAATATAAGGCATGTCTTACTATGTAAGTCACGCTGGCCTCAAAGTTTGGACCCTCCTAAGTCAGTCTCCCTGGCAGCTGGGATTATAGCATACCCCACCATACCTGGTTCCATCAGAGGCTCCTTACGTTATCTATTCTCTCCTGGAAGTCAGTACTCTTTGTAACTCCACCCATTCTTAATGTCACTGCTCCTTCCCATCCAAACCATGAGTTCTAGCCTCTCAAGTTCCTGCAGTGTGGCCAGGGCTTCAACACCGGGCCCTGAATGTCTTCTGTTTCCCCCTCTCAATCTTACTTCATTACAGCATTTAGGATTATGTGTCAGTTCCCAATACCTTTGAATGGAAATAATTTCTTCTCCTTTCTATTAACTAGATTTTCCTAAATTTATCTTTTCAATATACAATGCTCCACTTTATCTGTTTTAATATAAAGCCTTTTAATGTTGCCACTGTAATTTCTATGTACTTTGCTCATTATGTTGGAACAAGAAAATAGAAATGGGAGAAGTAGTTTCTCAAGAGTTCACCCATCTCCAGCCTTGGAAGACAATAGAAAAACGAGGAGGAACCCAATAGAGGGATGCTTTTGGAAGCCCTTGTCAAGAAATTCCAATAGACTGTCATATGAACATTTGAAAATTGCCCAGTTCTGACTTTTTTCTAGTTACCTGTCTAGAACTTGTAATGCTAATTACTCTTGCCTTTACTTCTCCTTCACATCTCCTAGTCACGATTTAAGGGCTTTTTTTCCCCTTAGAGATAAGAGTTATGCAATTTGGGAGTCTTTTCGATAGACCCGCTGAAGGAGTACTCCAATTGCCTCACCCTGCGTCCCTGTTCAGCATGGAAGAAGCCAGAGTGGTCTGTGTCCTGACTCCCTATCCTCAAGTTGGGTAACCTTTCAGAGGATGGTGTGGTAAGAATAAGAGGTAGGAATTGGCTAGGCAGTTAGGGTAAAAAGACCCTCAAGAAAAGTAGCCAGTTTCTTGGCTAAAACTCACAATGTACTTGGGCCTCTTAGCAATGTACTCCGTTCCAAAGGCCAAAAATGTTGAACATATTTGTGAGCTTTTATCTAATCCTTAAAAGATTTTAGGGTTACCTCTTCAGAAGGGGGAATGTTAAGAGTAGCGAAAAGCCCCATTTAAAAAAAAAATTAAAGAAAGTACATGAAGTTATCAGAAAAAAAAGTGATGGGAGATATGGGAGGAGTTGGAGGGGAGGGTGTGGGCATGGATTTGATCAAAACACCTTATATGCATGTATGAAATTCTCAATAAATTATTAAAAAAAAAAGAGTACACCCACTAGACATGACGGTACACGCCTTTAATCCGAGTACTTGGGAGGCAGAAGCAGGGGGATCTCTATGAATTCAAGGCCAGCCTGGTCTACATAGTGAGTTTAGTTCAGCCAGAGCTATATAGAGAGACTCTATCTTAAAAAAAAAAGAAAAAAAAAAGTATACCTATATGGTTATTCATCTGGACATTCAGCCAGGTCTGGACACTGAGCACTACAGTGAAAAGGCAAAGCACAGGTTACCCTCAGGAAAAAGCTTATAGACTTGTAAACTAATTACAGTGGGATACTGCATTAGCCACACCTTCTATAGTAACAGAGAAAAACAAAAATAAAACCAAAAAGCAAACCACAGCCAGATTTAAAGTACAAACCTCTGCTGACCTCTGTGCTTCTGGCAGGTGAAAAGCAGACAGCACCATCATTTTCTGACACAGGAATATGCTGGGCTCATCACTCAGGTCATGTGAAGCAGACGCAGTTCCAGGAAGCCTGGGTGTTTCCTGAACACCATGTGCATCTCATCCTTACACACACCAGGTCTAACGCACTCAACTCCTTAATGATCTCTCAAATCTGACCAGCTTTCTTCCTTGCTCTAGTTAAAAGCTTCCAGACTAGTCATCTGACTTTGTGCTTATCCCCCCATTGGCTAAGAATAACATCAAATTAGTCTAGAACAAAGGAAATTACATTTATTTGGGGCTAATGAGGATTGCAGTCCAGTAGACAAAAATTCAAGAAGTTCTGAAAATGTGCTCCAAGGAGTCCTAAAATGGTGCTGTATTATTGCTTTACCCATGAATGGGTCTGCAATCACATGACTTGTCAGTCAGGAGTTAGGACTGGTAGCTTAAGCTGCTGGGTGCAGTGTCAGAGTCGTTGGTCCACAGCAGTTAATAATGTTTCAAGGGTCAATTTATGGGGTGTTGGGTGTGTATGTCAGCAGCCAGAAAAAGAGCTGCAGAGGTGTCAGACACCTGATTAGCAATGACTTGATGCCAGTAAGGCCAGTGAAATATAACTTCCTCCTTGACATTCCCAATGTAGTCTACACCAAGGCCAGAATGAGCTTTGAAAATTTTAGGGGCTAGGGATGTCGCTCAGCAGTTAAGAATGTGATCAGGACTCACTCATTTCCAAACACACTGGCTTTTCTGTTTCTTGACCTCATTGTATCTTTTTACTTTCATGCACATCTAGTTCCTTGAACTTGAAATGGTTCTTCCATTCTGTTTTCCTCAAAGGATGCTGACCTTCCTGACTCTCTAGATTAGGGCTGCTCTGTTTACAGGCATCTACAACTGTTTTTAACCTTACAGCATTCCCCTGCTTCAGAATTGTGCACCTGGATGGAGATTCATTCAGGTATTTTAGAAAAGAGAAAAAAACCTAGAAAAAGTAACTAAATGGTTTATTTAGGGAAGTGGACTCTGGAATCAGACTGATGGATTAAGTGTTCTCTCTATCACTAACTAGCAGTCCCTGGGGTTTACAATGTACTTTAGTTTCATCACTCAAAGTATCAGAGTAGTAATAAGACCTATCTTAAGGGTAGTTGTATGAATTAGACAGGTAAGGAAAAGAGCAATGCCTAGCATATGTATTTGTCACCTTCCACCAAGAATGCATTTCCTCAGGAAAACCATTCAAAGTTCTGTGTCCCAAAAATTTATCCAGATGCATTTTTTCCCCCTGTGTTTATGTTGAGACAGGTTTTCCTGTAGCCCCAGCTGGCCTAGAACTTGCTATGTAGGCCATCCTGGCCTGGATCTTACAGATCTCTCCGTCTCTACCTCTGCCTGAGCCTCTGCTCCTGCCTCCTGAGTGGTGCGATTAAAGGCATGTGCCATTTTGCTGTGTGGCAGGTCCATTTCTGATTATGTAATGTCAAAGCAAATTTGAAAGAACTTAATTTCAAGATGCAAATGAACTTCAATATCCATTTTTAGAAAGCTAGAAGAAAAATAACTAAAGATAAACATGCTATTTTAAATTTTTGAAATGTATGTTGGTTACAAGACAGACAGAATGTCATTCAGTGGAAATCTGAAGTATTTTGTCTTTCACTGTCTCTCAGCCCTAACCGCAGTTATCATCTAGTTGCCATTTTGTGTTTCCAATGATTTTTAAATTTTCTGTGAAGAGAATACATTTTATATTTACCAGTCCTACAAGCACTTTTAAAGCCCATATGCACCCAAACATTATACTCTTTATTTGAAAAATGGTAATCCATTTACAGTACTTTTGTGTTTTTTTCTTTTTTTGTGCTCTTTTTGAGACAGTGTCTCCCCTGTAGCCTCACAGGCCTGGAACTCACCATGTCAACCAGGCCTTGACTTCCTCATCCTCTGCCTCTACCTCCCGAGTGCTGGGATTACAAGTGTATGTTACCATAACTGTGAGTCTATATCTCAAGTTGAATGACCATTTTTAGTAATTTGGTAAGTGCTTATAAAGATTAAGCCAATTATAATAAAGAAATACTAAAAGACCATTAAATCTTTATACTGCATAGAAAGCCATTTATGATATAAAAATTGTCAACATATTTATGCACATAGGAAAAAAACTTAAGATGTTAATAGTATTTTATTTTTGTTTAATTTGTAATCTGAATACTTACTTTACAACTTTGCCATACTTCGAAAATATCTGAAACAAAAGATCACATAATTTATGACCAAAGAAATATTTTCTAAGTCACTAGACTAGTACTATAGGTACTAGCGTCACATGTAATATGCCTTAGTACCTAAACTTCCTAGTAGGGAGTGGACAGAGAGAAAATAAGCCTTCAACAGTATAGATCTACGGCAGATCACACTAGATCGCAGCTGCACTCCTGCAGCATATCTATAGAAACAGAACCACCACCAGTGCTCCAGCTAAACCTCGTGTTTAACTCAGTGGTGGTGTCATTTCCACCTATGGTTGAAGCAAACACTGTTTAAGACAGACCTTAAACAGCACGTAATATCAAAAACCTTCTCTATAAAAACGTGTTTTCAGCCCAGTGTGTTGGTGCACATCTGTAATGCTAGCACTTGGAAGGGTAAAGCAAGATCACACGTTTAAGGCAAGCCTGTGCGACAGTGAGACCATGTACAAAACACCCTTTATGTCTGCTGGTCTCCATCCTCTTCCCATCATTAATATGTCGGAGGCACTTTAGAGCTGGTTCCTTCCTCTTCTTCACTTCTGTATCTCCATCCTGAACAACTTTATCTACGTCTACAGTTCAGCCAGAATCTGCACACTTGAGTTCTGATTTAGTATATAAGGCTTAGAAATAATGCTCGTTGGAGCTGGGCGTGGTGGTGCATAGCTTTAGTCCCAGCACTTGGGAGGCAGAGGTAGGCAGATTTCTGTGAGTTCAAGGCCAGCCTGGTCTACATAGTGAGTTCCAGGTCAGCTGGGGCTACAGGGAGACCCTGTCTCAAAAAGCTCCCCCCCACAAAAAAGAAAAAAGAAATAATGCTCCTTGGAAAAGGCTTTTGTAACATGTTAGCACAGGCAGTTAAATAATGCAATGTGGAGTTCTGTGATTAGCTACATAATGCTGCAGTATAACTCCACTAGGTCTTAGTATTTGTGACAGTGGATGGGGAGGGCCCAACAGTTTTCTATGCAATTGTAACACTTTCTCATTTCAGAATGAAGCCAGAATCTTTATCAGGCCTGTAAAGCAATTTGATGTGTTTGTTTTTATCTACCCTTCCTCTTTCAAAATGCTTGTGCCCTAGACATCCATACAACTGTTTCCTACTTGCTTCAGATTTTTATTCAGAAGCTTTTTTGTTTGAGACAGCGTCTCCCTGTAGTCCTAGTTAGCCTGGAACTCACTATGTAGACGAGGCTGGCCTCAAATCTTTCCACCTGACTCTGCCTCCCAAGTACTGGAATTTTTAAGCCTTCGCTACCACACCCGGCTGGCCTTGAAATCTTCGGCCTCCATATTCCAAGAGCTGGAATCACAAATATGTGCCTAGTTTATGTGGTATTGGAAACTAAACCTGGGGCTTTGTGCATGCCAGGCAAGCATACTGCCAAATGAACAAAGCCGCAGCCCTCAAAGCGACCTTTTTAATAAGGTTATTCCTTGCCAGCTGATCTAAAATCTTATCTCCACCCTGAAAAAAACACTAATGTCCCTCTTTTCTGCTTTAACTTTCTCCTTATTATTATTTTTTTTTTGTGTGTGTGAGAGATGTGGTCTAAGTTGCCCAAGATGGCCCAGAAGTTAAGTTCCTCCTACCTCAGCTTCCTGTGCGCTAGGATTACAGGTGTGTGATAACCATACTAGGCAAGAGCTCCACCACTGAGCTGTAGCCCGAGCTTGGTTTTGATCTGAGACAGCAAAATGCTATGTAGTTTCCACTAGACTTGAACCCATGGTCCTCTTGCCTCAGCTTTCAGAATGCTGGAATCACAGGCATGCATCACCATTTCTGTGTATATAAAAGCACTATAAATTCTCTTTGAAGATTACATATTTTTAACATTTTAAACACTAATATTTGTAGAAGATGCCTTTGACTTTGATGATTTAAGATTATGATATAGTTATTAAGAATTTTGCCAGGTAGAAATAATTGCTTAAGCTACAGTCTGTCTTTCCATAGAGAATCATTAGATAGGCATAGTTAAGGACTTACCCGGTATAAGTCATTGTTTGTCAGGGAGAAGGGCAGGTTGGATACATACACTGTGCTCTTACTCGGAGCCAAGCCACCACTCATTTCTAAAACGGAAAACAAACCAATCGATTAGGAATCTAAAGTAGGTGTTTCTCAATGATTTAATTATGGCAAATCTCCACACCTTCTATTTATTTAAAAAGGTTAGTGTAGGTATATGTGGGCTGTGTGTGAATTACCATATTTTCCCCAGCCACCATTTACATTTTTACAATCCTTTCAAGTAGTCTGTAAGCCTTATTAGTGCTGGACTCCAGGGAGAAAAGGGGTTTTAAAAAGCCAGAGAAACCATAAGGCCATTTTCCACCTCTGCTTGGTCTAGAAGTTTTAAGAAAGTGTTTTCCAAAAATATAACCCATACTTTGCCAGTCCATCTCAGAAAGGGGTACCTTGTCCTCTTCCCCTACCCGTTTGTTTTGACATAGGGTCCCACGCGGCCCAGCCTAGCCTTGAACTGCTGATCCTCCATTTGTCTCTCAAATGCTGGGATTACAGATGTGGGCCCCCAAGCCAGGCTCATTTTTGCCAAGTTCGGGGACTTTTTTGGGCTGTCTTAATGTTTCTCCGAAGTGACGTAAGAGGAAATTTTCGCTTCAGTATTTTTATAAAGTTCTTAAGAATTCTTAAGTTAGTGCACTACCAAATTACCTACTTACCTTGGTGTTTTGGAGACTGGGTATCCCTTTGTATCGCCCGCCGATGTGGTGTTACCGTATAGAACAGGTTGGCCTTGATCCCGAGATCTGCCAGCCTCCACCGGAATTAAAGGCGTATGCCACCCGCCCGGCACCAATTAGGACATGATACATTTTATATGATAGGTCTGAAGGCTTTGAATGGAAATTAATATCTATGTTTACAAATGCATCGCAATTAATTTCTCAAACTCAATGAAAATCAGATTGTAATGAAGAGCGTGTGTCGCGGATTTGAACGGAGTGGCCGGAATAACAAAGTATCTGCTACAGAACTGGCCAGAGACAGACGCTCCACGCTGGGTGATCCGAGGATCACGTAGAAACCTCGGGGGTCGCTTTAGCGAGCGGGCGGGCTGGCAGTCCCGGGACGCGGGGGCACCGAGGCGGGTACGCTTACCTTCGGCGCGGCGGAGCGGAGGCCGCGAGCTCCGCGACTGGCTCAGTCCCGGCTCGTACCCGCCGCACTCAGGAGCGCCGACATCCCCGACCTCAGCGCGGTCGGGAGCAGCAGGTGGGAGGCTGCGGCTGCGCTTCTTCCGGATCCCCTGAAACTCCGAGCCGTCTCGGGCCGGAGGCCGGCGCGCGGGTGACGTCACGGCCTGCGCCGGAAGTGCCTCCCTTGGCGAGCGGACGTCTACCTTCGCGGTGCTCGGCGGCGGCAGAGCGTAGGTGAGCGCGGTTTGCTTTACCCAGAGGCGCGAGGGGCGCGTGAGCCGCGGGCGGGCGAGCGAGGGTGTTTCCCGCTGCGGTGAAGTTGCGCTTTAGCCCCGACCTCGCGGTGGAGCGTGGGGGTTGCGGGGGATTTGGGCTTCAAGTCAGGACTGTTAGGTTCGGGTTCTTGCTGGCAGCGGAGAGTGCAGGATTTCTGAGCGGTAGCCTCTGTCTCAAGGTCAGGAAGTCGGCATTTTTTTTTTTTTTAAACATATTCAGCTCTAAGTAGGTACTTTCAGAGACCCTGAAAAAAGTGCACAAATGGCCCTTTTTCTTACTGTCGGGAATCCCCGTGTAGTTGGGGAGACAAAGCCGACGTGGGGAGTCGGAGTCCCGCAGAATGACCCGTTCTTGAGTGTTGGTGTGGACCGAGGTGTCGGGTCCTGACATCCTCACTCTGTACACCTGGAGTGGGCACGCACCGGTTATTCCCGGACGGGTTGTAACAGTCCCTTGGTTCCTGCAGAGAAAGCAATGCGTGGTAGTTTACCCTTCACTTCTACCCGCCAGCACGTACAGACCAGGCCTCTGCCCACTCCCCGGGAGCCCGTGTGCCTGCAGCCTCCGGGAAGCCAGAGCCGCTCCTGCAGCCTGCACAGCCTGAAGCCGTGGGATGCAGCGGAGTTTGGGGAGGCCTTAATGCCTCGGCGTCCACCCGGGACCGCCAGGGCCGCCAGTTCTCTCGGCAAACTTGTGGCAGCCAAACCTACCATGCTTCACATCCCCGTTGTCCTGGGTTACCGCCCAAGATGTAAGGCCGCTTGCTACGTCGCCTGCTGTTCTGTGTCCTCTCCCGGCGGAGGCTTTCTTCTCTCCACGCCTCGGCACTGCACCTACATACCCAGCCTTGCTTTGAAGCCCTCCTTCGCCTCCCGACCTCGCTTACCTGTCCTTTTCCCATTTCAGTGGCGCTCTGTTTCTAACGCCTATGTTTTAAGGTGGGCCGTGAGTCCATCTCTCCCCAACGGATTTTTCTTCTTAAAATGCTTTTTTCTCTTCAGTGTCTTGGCCTCTCCTTTCTCTTTTGGGCTTTTGATTTCCCGGTCCACTTCTACTTTTGTCTATTAATATAACTCCACATCTGCCACCCCCCCCTCGCCCCCCTTTCTTAGCAGGGTCTCCCAGTGGTCTGAAACTGATGATCTTCCTGGTCTCCTGCTGTTTACGCTATTTTACGGTATTCCCTAAGTTCCCATAGAGTAAGGGCCCTCTGTTTCACCTGGTGTCTTAGCTGCTTGTCTCTGAGTTTTTTTCAGGTAAACTAGGTTATGGGGGAGGGTGTGCTTCTCTTTGGAATGCTGTTGAAGGTTACTAGCACTGAAACTGGTTTCACAGCTTAAGGCAATTAACAATGAATATGAAAGAACCTGACTGAACTAGCTTGCCGCCACTTAACTACAACTAATTGTGGCTAGTAAGGGTGTCATCTCTGGTGCTGCCAATCATCCAGTTTGTGTGAGAACAGTTCACATACACATTTTTTTTTAAGACAGGGTCACACTATGGGCACTCACTATGTAGACCCTCCTGCCTCTGCCTCTCCAGTGCTGGGATTAAAGACATGCCCCACCATACCAGGATCAGACATTTAAAAAAAAAATTTTTTTTTAAATGTTAGTGAAAGAAAATGTTCTTAAACAAAAAAGCACAAACCAGATAAAAGTCAAATGTAGTCTGTCAGTGGCCAGTTTGGGATCTGCGTTAGGAGGTGGGCCTTGATTCATGGTTGGAGACAAGTGAGAGACTGGGAGGAAGTGCCCACTTCTGGGTGGAAAGTACCTAGATCCAGGCTCCATATGCCACTCTGCTGCAGGGAGGCACCATAATGCTTTTTGGAGAAAATAGGTGAGGTGGAAAATAAAAGGAGAGGGAGGGGAGAGAACTTTGGGTTTATGTTTATAAGAAATCCTTTGACTTCTTGATTAGGGAAGCCACCCATTGAAAATACACAGCAACAGTTGACTACTGTCCTGAGTGGGGCGGTTACTTGACAGTACCTGTCCTGAGTGTGTCACTGCTTCTCGGGAGAGCTTATGACAGGCGCATACAGAACAGAAGAGATTCTCCACACGACCTATTGGTTGCAATATGTATTTATCACATAGTTAAAGCATAACAATACACATCAACACAAACACTCAAGGGGAAACCCGTTCCTCTAGCAATTCAGAGTCCCAAAGTCTCAAGGGAATACCTTCCAGAGGTTAGTCCTTCCAGTACTCCATGTGGAGTCACTCAGCGTCTGCCGTGATCACTGCATTCTCCCGGCTGGAGCTGTCAATTCACAGGCTCTGATCACATCTGGTCGTGGCAAGCTCTCTCTAATCCTAGAGCAGACCAAGATTCTGCTGGAGTTCTCGATCTGGTCTCAAACAGAATTTCGGCCTGGCCTTGGGCAGAATTTCGGTCTCTCGGGTGATATGTCGGGATGAGGCCCACAGAGTCAGCGTCTTTGTAGCCCAGTATTGATGAAGTCCTCGAGCTGTCAGTTTTTGTGTTTCTTTTTTGGCTGGAGTCCTTCTGACTTAGTAACTTCAGCTGTTTCTTGAGATAGGCTTCTCCCATAGGATTACTTATCTATCACACACAGGCATTCAAGCTACTTAGTTTCGACTCTCACAGTTTTTTCTGTGTGAAGTGATAAGTGAGCCTGAGAAGCCAGAAGTTCCTAGTTTCTAGTTTCATTTCAAAGTCACTCTTAATATCCATCTTACTTTATCCCTAATTTCCTGATACATTCAGTACAACTACCTACTTCTGGGTGAGTGGAGGGTTTGACACTGAAAGGAGGCCGACCAGTTAAGATCTTAAGTTCCATCTAGAGTGGAAATAAAGTTGGGATTTATAAATATTGTGTATAAGGAAATATTGTGTATACTTTCAGTTAATTTATACTTAGAATGGACAATCAGGAATCTCCTAAGGGTTTAATGCAATATAGTGGGGCTCACAAATGAAGTAATTTTTTTTGTCTTTTTGAGACAGGGTCTCCTTGTAGCCCTAGCTGGCCTGGATTTGCTATGGAGACCAGGCTGGCCTTGAACTCACAAAGATCCGCCTGCCTCTGCCTCCTGAGTGCTGGGATTAAAGGCGTGTGCCACCATGCCCGGCAAGAAGTAATGTTTTAAAACTATATTGTCAAAAAATAAAAATAAAAAAAAACTATATTGTTGATGCAAAAACCAAAACTCTCACCTAAAAGGGGATGAGAGAGAGTATAATCTGGAGCCGAGTAGGAGTGACCACGGTTCAGGAATACAGATTCAGTTTCTCCCAACATCTTAATAGTTTCATTAAGTTTTTATAGTAACAGAACAAAGAAAGTCATAAATCAAGGCACTTTTCAAATACATTGGTGGAAACATGAGGTAGGTCGGTTACAGCAAAGTTGGGAAATCTCTGCTGTAAGCCTCAGATGCTGTCTGATGAGATTCTAAGCCTTTGGTTGGTGGAAGCTAGTGGTCTGTCAATACCATCTAAAAGGTTTCAATTTTCACAAGGATATTTGGTCAAATCCAAAGGTGGGCGATGAATGACTGTTAAGGAGACTAATGATAGCCCAGGATAAATTGTACTTGGGCTTCAGACCTTGAACATCGCAACCTCTGCAGTCTCTAAAAGTTTCAATCAGCCCACCTTCTAGAAGGCTCAGTGTAAGAAAGTGGGGTTTTTTCCCAGGGGCTTTATTCATAGTTCCCCCATTGGCCACACATCATACTTTGTACATGTGGGGCCAAGTATTAATTTTCCTTGGTTCTTGTGAAGGCTCATTCCTGGGATCTGATGTAGATGAGGCTGAGTAGTAGGAGAATAGCAGTCTCCAGTAGAGAATAGCTGGCAGAACCATTGAGGAAGAGATGGCTGGATCATAGCATCAAAATCTGCTGCTAGTATGGTCTGGGTCTCACTTCTTTTCCTCTGTATTTGACATAACACCTGACATGTTTTATTTATTTAAAAAAAGTTTTTTTGTGTGTGTGTTACCTACATGTAGGTAATGCACCCATGTTATGCAGTGTTCCTGGAGGTCAGAAGAGGGTGTTGAATCTCCTGGAGCTGGATAGTTGTTAGCCACCATGTGGGCGCTGGGATTTGAACCTGGGTCCTCTGCAGGAGCAGTCAGTGCTCTCGAGTCATCTCTCCAGCCCCTTACATTTTTAATCTTAATAGAAAGGAAAATGAGACTCTAATAGGAGTTACTGTGACAGTGACCTTTTAAATTTTTTTTACTTTTCATACTTTAATTATATTTTGTGTGTATGTGTTGTATTTGCTTGTATCCATTATGTTTTTGTGTTGGCCTTGCATGTGCCATGGAGATCAAAGGACAGTTTGGGGAGTTAGTTTTCTCTTACCGTGTGGATTATGGGTTATCAGACTTGATTATCTGCTGAACCATCTTGCCAGCTCTTTTTTTTTTTTTTTTTGTAGTAAAATGGTGTTATTTAATTTTTTTAATTGATATTTTTAATATTTTTAGATATTTTTATTTTATCTCTATGAATGTTTTCCTGTATGCATGTGGGTATACCATGTGCATGCCTTGTGCCCTTAGAAGAAGGGCATAGAAGAAGGCATCTGATCCTCTGGAATTGGAGTTAAGGATGGGTATTAGCTGCCATATGGGTACTAGGAACCAGGATCTTCTAGAAGAGCAGCTCTTAACTGCTGAGCCATCTCTCCTGTCTCCTATTTTTTTTTTTTTTTAAAGAGACAGGGTCTTTCCTGCTGTTCTGGAACCCTCTATGTAGACCAGGCTGACCTCAGATCTGCCTGCCTCTGCCTCCTGAGTGCTGGGATTAAGGGTGACCACCAGGCCTGGCTCTGGTTAATATTTTTTAATCCTAGTTTAACAGTACTACCAGACATTCTAAACAATCAAGAAATACCAGCCCTTAAGGGATAAAAAATCATGGTATTTGGAGTGGCAACATTTCAACTTTCACAACCATTGTAGTTTTAATCAGTTAATCAGCCTTTGAATCAGAAGATTCACTGTAAAGTGCAGTTCCTTCCTGGGACTTTTCATTCACTGATTTTTGTTGTGTTTTGCATTTTTTGGGACAGGGACTCCCTGGAGTCCCAGTTGGCCTGGAACTTGTTCTGTAGACCAGGCTGGTCTGGATCTCAGAGATCCACCTACCTCTGCCTTCAGACTGCTGGGATGAAAGGCCTACACTACCATGCCCGGCTCACTGGGTATTTTTAAATGATGCCTAAAAACATAAAAATGGGCTTGGGGCGGCGGGCTGGAGAGATGGTTCACTGGTTAAGAGTTCTCACTTCTCCTGCAGAGGACCTGGGTTCAATTCTGAGCATCCATATGGCAGCTAACAACTGTAACTCCAGTTTCAGGGGATCTGACACCCTCTTCTGACCACCTCTGGCATTCCATGACAAGGGTGTACTTACACACATGCAGGCAATATACTCATAGACATAAAAGTAAAAACAAGTAAGTAGAAATTGTATGTATTAGTGGAGTAATACTTAAAAACTTAAATTATGCAGTGTTTCAATAGGTAAACATTTGTTTCTTCAAATATGACTTCTTTATGGTACAAACTTAAAATTCTAGATTTTTGAAGTCGATAGGACATTATTGTCAGTAGTCACTGTACTATACAGAACATCAGACTTCCTGCCCCTCCCCGGCTAACTTCTCTAGGCTTCCCTTTTCCCTTGGCCCCTTGGCTTCTGGTAACCACCATTCCAGTCTCAACTAAGACGCCTTGGGGCTTTTCTTTCTGTGTGTTTCTTGAGACAAGGTCTTGCTCTCCACAGCCCTGGCTGCTTAAACTGGGTATGCAGACTTGGCTGGCCTTGAACTTACAAGGTCCTGCTTCTCTTGGGTTATAGGCCCACACTACTACACCTGGCTCAAAAGCAGTATTAGTAGAGTGGCTCGTGAAGCTAGTTAAGAGTGAAGTGCTTTAAAGGTGCTGAATTGTGGTGGGAGTTGGAGGCCAGCCTAGTCTACTAGTGACTTCTGGGCCAGCCAGGGCCACATAACGAAGCTGTGTGTCAAAGTACCACCCCTGCCCCAGTCTTCAGTTTGCGTAGTTGACTGTGGGAGCAGGCCGTGGTTTCCTTGCCTCCACCTTCTGGCCTCCTCCTCTAACCCAGTCTTTTCTTTTCTTTTGTTTTTTGAGATAGGGTCTTACCATGTAGCCCTGGCTGACCTGAAACACACTATGTAGACCAGGCTGTCCTCAAACTCAGAGATCTGTCTGCCTGCCTCTGCCTCCTGAGTAATGGGATTAGAGTCCTGTGTGTTGTGTCTCCCCCAAGTTCATTTTGTATGCTGCCAAGTTCACCTTCTAGAGTGATTCCTCCCCCCTCCCCCATTCCCAGGCCTAAAAGCCTTGTCTGGAATTTTACTTTGTTGTCATTTAATGCCCTTGAATCTGTTCTCTTAGGGCTTGCTTGCTCCCTTTGTGATAGTGTCATAGTTGGAAAAGGGCTGGGACTTCAGAGTTCGGAAGGGACTGAGTCGGACTCCAGCCTCATTTAACCCGTGAATTTCAGTTTTGAGAGCTTCTAGTTTCCACGTGGAATGTAGGATGGTATCTCTACCATTAGGGTAGTATGAGTAAAGGGTTTACATGTTTTGAAACTTCGTTGCAAATTCTTGCACATAGGAGAGGAAAGGGAAACTCACCGGGTGCCTGAGTAGGTAGGTGCATTCGCAGGTGTTTGCAGTCGGCTTCTGACCTCCGTGGGCCTTGCATGGCATGGGTGCACTTACCTACATGCAGGCAATACATACATACACATAAAATAAAATAATAAACATTAAAAAAAAACAAAGTCAACCAAGACACCAAAAATATTGTTGCCTGAATTCTCAATTATTTAGAACACGTGATCACTTTCTGCCAAATACAAGACTGTAGGGATGTTTAGTCAGAGAATGCTAATTTTTTTTTTTTTTGGTCTTTTTGAGACAGGCTCTCCCTGCAGCCCCAGCTGGCCTGGAACTCACTATGTAGACCAGGCTGGCCTTGAACTCACAGAAATCCACCTGCCTCTGCCTCCCAAGTGCTGGGGTTACAGGCGTGCACCACCACACCTGGCGTGATTTTTAAACAGAAGTATTTTAAAGTCAGTCTTTTCGGTTGGACTGGTGAGATGGCTCAGTGGTTAAGAGCTGATCTTGCAGACCCAGGTTGGGTTCCAGCACCCATATGACTGCTAACACCTGTCTATAACTTCAGTTCCAGGGGATCGATGCCCTCTTCTTGCCTCTTTGGGCATTGTACACGTGGTGCTACATACCTTAGGCAAAACACTTGCATCCATAAAATCAACATAGATTTAAAAAAATGTATAAAGACAATGTTCTTGATTTTATAGCTAAAAATGGCCATAAATATCTAGTAAATTCTCCTAAGAGATAAGCATTTGCTCAGCTCTCAACAGGCAAGGCCCCAAGTTCTTAGTCTTTCACAGAAAAGCTACGGCAGCTCCATCTGTGGCTGCTCTAAGTGGCCTCTTTTCCACCTGTCATCTACTCTCTTTGCCTATCCTGCCTCCTGCCTGTTCAGTTTTACTTTTCATCTGCCCTTGAAGCTGTGTGCCCTTGGACTCTAATGTGCCCCGTTCACCCACTGCCCAGATTGTAAGCTTACAATGGAGGAATCATTTCTTTTAGAAAGAAGATATCCTCTCCTCTCCAAATTGAATAGTGATAAAACTTTCATTTTAATTTTAAAATTTACAAATGTTTTTACACTAGAATAAACTTGTATCATTACAAATAAAATCAAGGAGCTGGAGAGATGGCTCAGTGGTTAAAAACACTTGCTGCTCTTACAGAGCACCCAGGTTGGGTTTTCCGCATCAACATGGTGGCTTACAAACAATTGTAACTGTAGTTCCAGGAGATCTGATGCCTTCTGGCCTCTGTGGGCATTGTTTGCATGTGATACACTTAAATACATCCAGGCAAAATGCTCATACACATGAGGTACAGATAAATAAGATTATGATTGTCTTATTTCTGTAGTTAAGGTTACTTCAGTGTGTGTTATGTATGTTTTTGCACCTTTATATCTTTTTCTACATTAAACATAGAGATGAGGTTCTAAGATTGCAGAAAACAAAACACTCTTAACACAGATCAGTCATCGGCAGGTCAAGTAGCTTTGGCAGTCTGATTTGCAGACTATTAAATGATACCTTTTCTGTTTTGTTTTAATGTGACAGTGAAGAACTATATGGGGGAACATTTGTATTGGCCCTTTAAGTGTTGTTGAAGATGGGCAGGGCATGGTGGTGCACACCTTTAGTCCTAGCACTTGGGAGGCAGGCAGATCTCTGTGTTCGAGGCCAGCCTGGTCTCCTTAGTGAATCCAGTCCAGCTGTGGCTATAGGGAGACCCTGTCTCAAAAAACAAACAAAACAAAAAAACCCAAGTGTGTTGAAGACAGAAGGCAGGGCACACCTTAAAAATACCTCAGATGGCTGGGCGTGGTGGTGCACGCCTTTAATCCCAGCACTTGGGAGGCGGAGGCAGAGGCTGGCGGATATTTGTGAATTCGAGGCCAGCCTGGTCTACACAGTGAGTTCCAGGACAGCTGGGGCTACAAGGAGACCCTGTCTCAAAAAGACCAAAACAAAACCAAAAAACCTCAGAATTGGAAGAAGCATTGCATTACTCACCCTTCCCTGTGGTTACCCCTGCTCCCTTAAGATGTGGAAAACACATGTGGAAGGCAGTCATCTACTTCTTACTGTCTTATTTACTCACAACATAAAGCCATGATTTTTGCTTTCTCTGTAGTGGCTTGTGCAAGTGATGAAATGTGGTCTGAGGGACGATATGACTACGAACGACTTCCAAGAGAGCGATTTCCTCCTCGGACTCACCCCAGTGTAAGTTTAGTGTGTGATATCACATGCTGCACCAAAGTTTGTCTTGTTAACAGCATCTTCAGATAGTAGATGTTTTTCAGTATGGTGGAAAAATAGGCCAACTTTATCTTTGCAAGTTAGAAAATAATTGGTAACATTTTATTTAAATAGGAATTATATTTTATACTTAAATTTCTAGAATAAAGATTTTGTTTTAGTTTGTGAGGTTAGCACTCACTCTACTGGTGAGCTCCAGCCTAGTGTTTTGTTTTGTTTCTTACTTTGAGACAGAGTCTTGCTAAGTTGCCTAGACTAATCTTGAGTTCCATCTGTCCTGTGCAGGCCCTGCCCTTGTGAGCCTCCTACCTTAGCCTTCCAGGTAACTAGGGTTACAGGACTGTTTAACCAGGGCTGGTAGACAGTGTGGTACTTAATCTTACAAATCACTTAGCTGAGCAGTGCCATCTTCAGGGTTGTCATTAGTCTGAATTACAGGTCAGGTTGAGATTGATATAAGGTGATTTAAGATTTAAAAAAAGAGAGAAAGCCCATTATATTTTAGAGTGGGCAGACATAATTATTAGCACATGTCATTTCTTTCCAGGTTATAGAGTTTGCTTCTAATCAAAAGCATAATGGTTTTAAAATTTTTAACTTGATAAAATTATTTTATAGTTCACCTAGAAAGATTAAAAACTGATAGGGGTTAAGTGTGAGAAAGCTATAACATATGGATGGGAAAAGGGATAGTTTTCAAAAGAATTTTAAGTCTTTTTTTCCCCTCCACCAAGAATATATCTTGTTGGTAGAAATTTATAGCAGCAGCTGGGCAGCAGCTGCAGAAGTGTGTGCTTTTTTCTTGAGTAGGCTCAGTTGGGGAGTGGGAAAAGCAGAGTGTATCTATTCAAGATTGTAAGGTGAGCGCTGGGCCCAAGCAGAGGAGGCTACTGAAGAGTCTGACTCAGTTACTGAGGTAATGTACTATGATGGCCTCAAGAAGAGGGCGTGAGACTGCGAGGGAGAGGTCGAAGGCCACGTGAGGGAAAGATAAGCAGTTGGTGTTTAGAGCATGGGGCTTCCAAGATGGAAAAGTTGTGAGTGAAATTCAGTGTGTTGATGGGCATAGAGGGTTAGTTAGTGGAGCTGAGGGACTTGTGATACAGTTCAGTTGCTACAGTACTGGCCTAGCATGCATGAGGCCCTGGGTTGGATCCCCAGCACTTCAGAAAGGGGTAGGGGAAGACAGGTTGCAAGTGACAGAAGTCCTTATTGAATGAGCATTTTGTAGTAAAACTTAAACAACCAGGCATTTTTATCTAATGTCATTTCTTTGTGTGTATGTGTAAATGTGAAACAGGCTTTTTTGTTCCTCTCAAAAAGGAATTTTGTCAACACCAGTAAGCAGGTAGGAGACATTGTGTCACTGGTATGCTTACAATCAGAGTAGATACGCTCCGTCTGGCAAATCGTCCTTCCTCATGGTGTCTGACTGCTTGGGTATTCTTGCAGGAGGAGCCTGGATTGCTCTTTTGTTTTTGAGAGCAGAGAATCTACCCAGACCTAGTTCAGGCTCATTTTTCTTCTTTTTCTTTACTTCCGTTAGTTGTTCCCCAGTCACACTTTGCTAATTTATAAACCTATATTCCTATGTTCTTCTTCTCTAGAATCGAGGTGCATTTTTTTTCCCCTCACTAAACTTAATCTTATTTTAATTGGTAATTTTAAGCTTCTTCTTTTCAACATATATTTGGCCCTTCAGAGGGCTCTGTCCCCTTGCCATCCATGTTATGTCTACATTGTAGTCAAATACAGTGTAGGTTCTCAATCTATTTTCCTTACATGGTAAAATCTAGGAATCCATTCTCAGGAGGACCACCCCACCCCCCATTTGTTCTGAGAAAGGATCTTGTGTAGCTGCGCTGGCCTGAGTTCCTGCCTCATCCTCTTGCCTCTACCATCGAGTGCTGAGATTACGGGCATGCTCCAAAATGATACTTGGCTGAAGCCACTGAGGTTGGAACATAAGTACTGTTGTGGGAAAAATCAGGCAGGACATTGGGAATTTACAGGAAGCAGGTATTTTCTCTGGCTGCAAACTGGTCCAGGAGGCTCAAACGGTAAAGTCTGGACCCCGATTAAGGGAAGTTCACATATTTCATAAGTATTACATATTCAAAAGTATCATAGTAAAGTTTCATTTTTTAGAATAGTTTAAAAGTTTCCAAAGAAGGGCAGGAAGTTGCAGGTGCTTACCACAGCTGTCTGGCTGGGGCTAGAGGTATGATGTCCCCACCTCAGCTAGATGCCATAGGTGTAACCACAATTCTTTCTAGCTGTGCCAGTGTCCTAACCACAAACTTGTCAGCTGAACTCTACTGACAGAAACACAGAAGACAAGGATTAAAGTCCATAGTTTTAATTTTTAAAATTATTTTTTAAGTTTTAGAAAAACTTTGAGAATTTCATACATGCATATAAGGTGTTTTGATCAAATCCATGCTCACTCCCTCCCCTCCAACATTCCCTCCTCTGAAGAGGTAACCCTAAAATCTTTTAAGGATTAAATAAAAGCTCCCAAATACTTGACATTTTTGGCCTTTGGAACAGAGTATGTTGCTGACAGGCCCAAGGACAGTGTGACTTTTAGCCACGAAACTGGCTACTTTTCTTTGGGGTCTTTTTATACTAACTGCCTAGCCAATTCCTACTTCCTATTCTTACCACACCATCCTCTGAAGAGGTTACCCAGCTTGTGGATAGGGAATCTGGATGCAGACCACTCTGGCTTCTTCCATGCTGAACAGGATGTAGGGTCAGTCAATTGGAGTACCCCTTCAGTGGGTCTATCCTAAAAGAATCCCAAATTGCATAACTATTGTCTCTAAGGGGAGAAAGAATGGCAATTTTCAAATGTTCATATGAGAGTCCATTGGAGTTTCTTGACAAGGGCTTCCAAAAGCATCCCTCTATTGGGTTCTTCCACATTTCTCTTTTGTCTTCCAGTTGGGCTTGTTGACGGTTGTGCTCATTCATTAAAGGAGTGCCAAGCAGGGTCACTGGACCCTCACCAGCTACTCTTCCCAGCCAACTAGTCCAGCCTTGGAAGATACAGTTTTAATATTTTGTTATTTTTATTTTATGTGTATGAGTGTTATACCTGCATGTAGGTAAGTGCACCCATGTTGTACAATGCCCACAAAGGACAGAAGAGGCTGTCAGATCCCCTAGAACTGTAGTTTTGGACAGTTGTTAGCTGCCATGTGGAGGCTGAGATTCGAACTCGGGTCTTCTACAGGAACAGTTAGTGTTCTTAACTGCTGAGCCATCTCTCCAGCCCTCAAAAGCCCATAGTTTTAAATATGCCATTAGGCCTTGCATCACTACGATTATAGAAAAAACATTTTATTTACTTATTTACTTATCTTTTTTTCAGTTCTTTGAGACAGGCTCACATGTGGCACAGACTGGCCTTAAACTCACTAAGTAGTTGAAGATGAACTTCAAGTCCTGCTCATCCTGCCTCTACTTCTAAGTGCTGGGATTACAGGCACATGCCACCTCCCAGCTTTTTATTTTGTTTTGTTTTTTGAAACTGGGCATCACTTTTTGACACAGGCTGACTTGGAATTCACAATTTAGACCAGGTCGTCCTTGAACTCAGGGCAGTCCTCCTGCCTTGGCTTCTCAGGTTCTGGGTATAGATATGAGTTACTAGACCCAGCTCAAGAACAGATTTGTGTTTTGTAATACGTACTTCCTTCATAGGCACGTTAGCTTTCCATTTCTGTATCACACATCGGAGATGATCATCTTACAAAGAGGAGGTTATTTTGGCTTATGGAGGTTTTAGTCCACAATGAATTGGGCTTTTGGTGAGATAGCATGTCATAATGGGAGTGTTCCAGAGCCAAAGCACTCACCTCATGGAGGGAGGGAGGGAGGGAGGGAGAGAGGGAGAGAGAGAGGGAGGGAGGGAGGTAAAGAGTATTGGGGAACCCTGCTGTTAGGGTCGCAGTCTCTCCATGTCAGGATAGCTGCTAGCCGGCTTGGCACATAATGGAGAGACTCCCCTTTTTCAGCAGGGCGCCTCCTGCTCTCCTCCTGGCTCTCTTTGAAGTGCCTGCCACAGATGCCTTACTGGAAACATGACCTCTGGCATAGAAACTACCAGGTTTTTCTATGTGATAATCAGGCATTGTCTGACAGCCTGATAGAAGCCCACCGCCTCATGTAAATAAAGCATCCTAGGAGCACCTATCAGCTGAGGCTTTTGCTACTGCCTCCACACTATAAATTCTCTAGTTTCCCCCTAATAAATCGAAGCTGTATTACTGAACTTGGCTGAAGCTGTATCACTGAATTTGTCTGGAGCTGAGCTGTGTTTTACTGTGCCTGGGACCAGCGTGTGAGCAGTCTTCCCGGAGGGAGCTGTCCCTCCGTCAACATACACTCACGCGACGCTTCTGCGCTCCCTGCTTTGCTCTCCCTGCCCCCCGCGGACCGGTGGCCAATGACTGCGGGCACAGAGGGAGCGTCCTGCAGCTTGGCGCAGAGCCCCCTGCAGCTTGGCACAGAACCCGCCAGGCATCTTGCAGCCCCCTGCAGAGCTTGCACTCACCACGGCTGCCGCGGACCTACCCATCTGTAGAGCCTGCACTCCCAGCCACGGAGAGCCAGAGAGACCCACCCCAGCAGCGAGACCCGCCAGCCAACAAAAGAGAGTGAGAGAGCTGGAGAGAGCCAGAGCCCACATTCTCTTTAGAGGACATATCCCCAGGGACCTGAAGCTGTCCCACCAGGCAGTAGGCATTAACTGCTCTACCACACAAAGACACTCATACTGTGGCAATAAGTTGTAAAGAAGCAGGAACTAGGGGTTTGATTACTATATATTTAAAGTAGTGATGAGTGTAAAGCCTTCCAAGTGCTGGAAGGTACTTACAGTCATGTATCACCATGTCTTGTGAAAAAGTAATTTTATATTCACATTTGATTCAAATGGACTGAGTTAGATATTGGAC